TCTTACCCCAGCCAGTTTGGGAATTTTATTGCTGCTTCTAGAATCAGATGAATCGCTCCGATTCGAGTGGTTTTTGGATCGATTCAGTGAATCGATCAATCACGAATTATTTTGCTCCAAAGAATCGATTTTTCGAATATCGATTTTAGATCGACATGCCTAATACACCGCACTTTAATCAGTCACTCGCTAGGCGCTTACAGATATGTCACGTGTTGTGTCGATTTAAAAAAATCTCTTGATAAAAATATACCGTCGTGTGTACTTAGATATTGCATAAATAATTCAAGAAATGTTAGTAAAAAAAATTTAAAATGTTTTATTTCAGTAAATGATTTTACAGCTATTTGCCGAGGCCTCCCAGAAAGTAATCATAAGATACTTGTGTTGGGAGAGTCTCGCTCTTCCTACGTAATCGTATCAACTTAGATTTACATCAAAAAAAAATATAAACATTTTAAACTTAATATTACAGATATTCATGCATTTTAAAATGAAAGAAAGAAGCTTAGGAGAAATGTATACCTGAGTAGTTGTGTCCGTAGTGTGTTAGTTTACGATGTGCGTGCGTGTGTGTGTGTGTGTGTGCGTGCGTGCGTGCGTGCGTGCGTGCGTGCGTGTGTGTGTGTGTGTGTGTGTGTGTGTGTGTGTGTGTGTGTGTGTGTGTGTGTGTGTGTGTATGCGTATGAGTGGGTGAGTATGAATGCAAGTTTATAAATGTGTCACATTACCTACTGATTTAAAAATAAAATATAAAAAATAAATGTGTAAAATATAAAGTTTTCTAACGGAGAGCAGCTTAGATGTTTGGTATAGGGTTTCGGTGGAAAACCTACAGGGCCTCCAGTACATTACCTTAATCAAGGATCTTTGCGCCCTTTCTAAATCTATAAGGTATGATTTAGCCGCTCCTCCCCATACGAATATGCAGTAGATTATTACAGACTGCGCTAGTGCGATATATATTTTATTCAGTAGCTTGGTACTCATCACGTTTCTCAGAGATTTTAAAACCCACATGAGCTTTCTTACCCTCCCAATTGTTATTCTATGTAGGTGTGGATACCAACTTAATCTTTGATCCACAATGATTCCGAGGTATTTAACACAACTAACTTTCTGAATTACTGTACTTAGTAAGAACCAAGGAATTACTTTTCATCGGTTAATAAGATACTTAATCAATAAAAAAGTATGAAAGATTAATAATAAAACAAATTATTCCTAAGACGCCATCTCGTGTCATGGAATATAGACTACGAAATTAATACTATTTTCAGATGAGACATTTCTGTAGGTACTTAAGTATAGGACGAGGTTTTGGCGGGAACTTGGCCGTAGACGGATTGTCGCTCCTGTTTTGTCGCTTGAATAATGGTTTGATGTGGATTTTGATTCGTAAAAGTGATGCGATTTTGTGAATTAAGTGTCCGCGCGTGTGAACTATAGAGAAAACGACGAAACAAGTGCTTTGATGTCGATATAAACCTCAAGTTATTTTGATCGCTTAGGCGTCTCATGAACTTGAGTGGCTGTCGTCATCAACTATCCGCTAGGTTGAGCTGTCGTCAAAATCTCCCAAGGGCTTCGCAATGTGACGCATCAGCATATTGTGCAGAAAAAAAAAAACATAAAATGATGAAATATTAAATACAAATAAGGAATGGTTAACACGTACTTACCGGACATTGGCAGAATTATTGTGACATTATCACAATACCAAGAGCCATATAGTTATTTAAAAAAAAAGTATAGGACGAATATATTATTATACACTTTTTTTTTGTAGAAACAAGTATAACTTAATATAATTAGGCAAAATTTTTCATGTTCAAATCTGCTTATTATTCTTTTATTTTATTTTTAGGTTTCCACATCAAAGTCGAAGTGGAATAAATTCGTCCATTTTTAACTTTCGCGTGCCCAGCATTTATGAACGACCCTTATTCTAATTTAAATAAATATATTTGTAATTTAAATGTTATTTTAATAAGTTATGTTATAACATTTTTTATATTTGACATGATACCTTTTAAAATATTCAAATAAAATATCATTAAAATGTAATTGTGATATAATATTATATTAAATAAGCAAATATAATATACAAAATAAATGACAAAATTTAAAAATTGTTCTCGATATAATTTACCTGTTTAACAATACAATATATTATTACCTACGGATCATTCTACCTATGTTTATTCTATGATAAAAAAATAACCGCGCGAACACAGAGTAGCGCACATTTTTTGTTTGAGATAGCTTTTCTAGTACGTAAGTACATATTACTTCAATGCTTGTAGAGAACAGAAAAAAGCAAATAGTTTTTCAGAAAATGTAATGTTAGCATACTTCTCTGAACTCTCAGCAAAATTAAAACCGTCTACGTTATGGTCGAGGTTTTCGATGATAAAAAGTATGCTGAAAATAAGGAACAACGTGGATATAAGTGAATACCTAAAACTAAATGCTTTTTTTAAAACGACAATCAGACGATTTTACAACAAAAAAGTCGAAAATATTAACACCGAATGAAGTGGAAAGGTTTTTGAACGAAGCTCTCGATGATCGTTATTTAGCCACAAAAGGTAATTTATTAATACATTTTTTTCAACTGTATTAAAAATAGTTGTTCAGTACATGTGCAGAATCATCATTGCAACTTGTTCCGACTTTCAACCCTCACCTTCGGCTGCGCCTCGGCTCGGGTAGATATTTGTCGGAATTATTTGCAATGAAAGGCTTTCCGCACTCGTAATGAATTATATTATTTTAATTTAAATCGAATCAACGATAATATTAAAAAGAATCTTGTTCAGGCTTAAAACCCAATTTCATTGGAAAAAAATAATTTAACGTGCTGGTTTTGTTTTAATGTATTTTATATTCCTTTTCTTTATTTGGAACATCAACAGACAAACATAACAGTACTTATAACATAATATGACAATATTAAGAGGCCAATCACAGCTATCCTTCAAATATTTTTTTCGAGTACATAGTCTACAAGCCACAAATAATCTAAGTTTGGTCAAATAAAATAGGCAAAAAATATAGATACATAAACACTCACGCCTGTCACCCAGAGGGGTAGGCAGAGACTACAGACTTCCATTTAGCACGATCCTGACATACCTCTCTCGCCTCTTCCACATCACATACATGCTCGTCGGTTAAGGATACTCCTAATTTGGCCCATTTTTAGTAAATCGCCAATTTGGTCGGCAAACTTTCGCCTAGGACATCTCTTTCCGACTCTTCCATTCACTTCTGCAACATATATTTGCTTTGTCAGTTTTTCCTCATTCATTCTTTTTACATGACCGCATGGATGTCTATGTGACCGCTGGTCACCGCATCATCTTGCAAACCACACTCTTCTTTTATCACACAGTTTCTCACCCTGTCACTCAGATTCAGCCCTAACATACTCCTTAGCGACCGCATTTCTACTGCATTTATTCTACTCTCGTGCTTCTTCTGCCATACCCAACTTTCACTACCATACGTTAAAGTAGGGACTAATACAGCATTGTGAATTGCCGTACGTGCCTTTTTTTGACACATTCTGACTTTTCACAATAGAGTGTAGAGCCCCATTTACTTTATTTCCTGCATTCACTCGTCGTTCAATATCCTTATCCTATCTCCCATCCCTGCTGAATACACATCCCAAATATACGAACTCATCCACTTGCTCAATTAACTCTCCTTCTATTCTTATTTCACATACCGTTTTGCTTTCTTCTCTTTCTAAAACCATCACTTTCGTCTAACTTGCGTTCACTTTCATTCCCCTTTCTTTTAATGACCCGTTCATTAATGTAACCATCATTTGCAACTCGGCCGCCGACGATGCAAGTACGAGTATGACTTGATCATCGGCGTACAAAAGGAAAGCGTAAACAATATATTAAGGAATTTGTCATAAATTCATTGAAATTGAACTTGGCGATGTGATACAATCCATACATTTCGTTATGAATTTTTCTAAGAATATTATGGTGTGAGATATAATATGTATACCTACTATAAATCACCTTAAACTAGTTTATAGGTTTAACAAACAACATCCACTCCTTTACGGATGTTGCGTCAAAACACAAGAAGTTTAATTTTATCTAGGAAGGTTTTTGACCAGCAGTGTAATGTTGGTTGGTATTGATGATAAAATGTATTTATTAATGAGCCGTGGTAGCTCAGATGGTTAGCACTCGTTGTAAATTTCACAGTACGCGAGCAAACCGGGTTCGATCCTCGCCGGCACCAATGAAATTGTTAATTGCAATTTTAAGTGCTGATTTACCACGTGCTCGGCAGTGAAGGAAAACATCGTGAGGAAACCCGCGTGTCAGAGAAATAAGAAAAATAAATTGAAAATATTTCGAACATATGTGAAATTCGTCAACACGCATTGGCGCAGCGCGGCGGACAATTCCTTGCCCTAAAACCCTCTCAGAAATGAGCCGAGGCCTATGCCCATAAGTGACTAAGGAAATAACATGCTCGCGCAGAATACTAGTATAAACTACCATAATACTGCTGTGTTTCGTATGTTTGATGAGCGACGAGAACCGGATATCCTTTGACTAATAACGAGAAACCCCATCTTATTCTTAAGAAGGGACACCGCATCTGCATTTTGATTCAGGGATAAATATATGTTATTAAGTAAGTAGAGCCTTGCTGTAGCTGTATCGTGGTTGTAGCATGAAACGGTCGGCTCGACCCGGGAAGCACCACGATCTCACAGAATACCACCAAAATATAGTACCTAGTATAATGGTGTTGTATTTCACTTGGTGGTATGAGTGAGATGTCTATTGGCCACAGCTTAAATAAAATGTAAATGTTTATGAGCCACAATATCTACTATCACATAGAGTGTGTGCTCGTTCTTAAGTTTGTAACCCTTAATCTTATAATATAAAAGTAATGCCCATTGATAGCTGCCCATAATATTCGAAGGCTGTCACTGATGATCGCATCTCTCGTAGTATTGACAGATACGAAATAAAATACCTTGAAATTCTGGAATGGCCTGGTGCATGTTTCAACGTCGGTCGTCTTCAAGAGCATTTTCCTGAACTACGCGTTCTGGAGTTCATCAATTGTACTATGTTAATAAAGTTCAAAGGCCGCTTTGAAGAAAACAGTAAAATTGAGGTAAGTAGGGTTTGACATTTTAATTACACTAGGGAACATTTTCCAAATATCACACTGTAGCTTAACTTAATTTTTAAAGTTTTATGTATAATTTTTTATTTGCTCATTATTTGATTTATTATTATTTATGTTAAGAGTTGGGATAAATAACTAAAAGAAATACACCATAACATAAATAAGATACCATAGAGGATAAGTACATACTTAATTGAATACATGAAGTTATTAGCAAAAATAGTTAGAATTTTAGCGGGAATTTGACCTCTGGCGGAAATGTTGCTCCTGTTTTATTGTTTAAAACAATTTATGATAGTTCGAAGTGGGTTTGGATACGTAAAAGTAAAGCATTTTCACTACTAGTGGAAATAACAAAACAAATGCTGCGATGTTAATATAAATCTTAAATTGTTTGTTAGCCTAGGCGCCTCAAGAATTTGAGATAGTGTCGTCATTGACTATATGCGTCGGGTTTAATTGTCGTCAAAATCTCCAAAAATTTTCCAATGTGTGTGACGCATATTGTGAAGAAGATTTTGAAACAAAATGTTATTTAAAGGATAATCTCTTATTACTTGACTCTAGACCTTAATCGTACGAGACCATAACAAAATGAAATAAATAAAACCCATATATTTATTTTTATAGATTAAAAATTTCGATAAAAATTAGAACTTTTGTGAATAGCTATAACGTAATGAATATAAATAATGTAAAAAGTACATAGCGTACTTTGATCTTTTTGTTATAGTTATAAATTTTAGTGATCGTTAAATTTCCGACTATTAAAAGTCAGCAGAGAGTAGTAAAGTATCTTTTAAAAGCTTCAGATTTATTTCGTCTTTTCCTGTTATCGAAATAATATTAAGACAATCATTATACAGCATTATATATATATATATATATATATATATATATATATATATATATATATATATATATATGATTATTTTTATATATGAGAGAGAGAGAGAGATTTAAAACGAGTAGAATCGAACTATTTCCAAGTGGTAAATTAATAAAGGAATATAAGAACATTTAGCTGATGTGCAGCATCAACGATCCGGGAAGTCTGCAGTTTGTGATAATCCTAGGTGGGCCGCGGGCCAACCATTACATCAGATCCTCGCGAGACCACAAATCCTCGCGAGAACATCGATCCCTACCAAGGAGATGCGTGATCATATTGTGAGGCTATTGAAATTAAAAAAAAAACATCCTAATTTCAATAGAGAAGGAGGCTGGATACTACCACCTGCTTGGGATCCTGTAATTAATAAAATTAAAACCAAACCCAAGCATACTATTGCAAGACTTCAAGACACAGTTAGTTCATTCTGCGTAGACCATAAACGATAATGAAAAAAGTTGAAGGTACTTCGGGTTAACATTGACATCGAGACGTCAGTCACCTCAGTCCCCCGTGACCATGGGTACTGAAAAGCACCCAACGCGTCAGGAATTTAAAATTATTTAAATTAAACGCGATAAAATCTGTAAAAGTAGTTTTAATCAATATGTAGTATTCGCGTAAATATAAGAAATCATTAAGGAATATAAGTTTGAAAATAACAGAAAAAAAACTTGTTTTACGATTTTTTTAAATAAATGAAGTCTATGGTAAGCTATGTTGGTTGAAGTTTTGATTTGTCCTGTTTTGAACACAAAGTATTAAATACAGAAACTGTTTTCGCATAATATGTTTGAAAAGTATTCCTAATTCTTACTCCTTTATCAACCCATAACGGTATACAGCTGGGCTCCATAATGGTAATAAGTTCGACATGTTTGACAAGTAGATTAGTGATTCCATTCGAAATTTTTACTGGCCCTGCGACTTTGACAATTTGAAAAATTTAATTATAAGAAAAGATTACTTAAATGAGTTACCGTTTCAGAAAATAGGAATACATGGACTAACATCGCTATGGGAAGTACCTGCAGAAGTCGTATCCCAAATGCCTGAATTACGCGAGTTGGATCTCAGAGGTAATAAACTGCGACATATCAGAGCCCGCCTAATAAAAGGACCTCCTCAGTTGGAGCGAGTGTACCTTAGCAGTAAGTAATATTACGTGTTATGTCGATTTTACTATAAATTCATGATAGAGTAGTTATAGTTAAAGACATCAATAAGTTTTAGAAGTAAACCTGTGTAATATATTTTATATTTATATTTATTACAGGTCTTCACAAGTCAACTGCTGAACATAGGGCTCCCTCAAAGAAGGCGACAAAACACGTTCTTGAGCCACCTAAATCCACCGAATTCCTGCATGTTTTATCGTCGACTTCCAGACCGTCACTCGATCTAGTTGGTGGAGGAAAACACTTACAAAGCTTCTACTACTAGCTTAAAAATTTTCTCCTTTAAGAGTACATAATAATAATGTCCTCCAGACCGAACTTCAGCCACGGCGGCCAGCCTCAACGGTGGCTAGCCATCGGCGCAGGACAGGATTATAGTGCCCAAGTGTATGCGCAAGCACAAGTGCACTCTCTATTCCCTCATTCTCGTAATGCGATAGGACGGTAAACCGACACGACTGGGAGAGTGATCAGGCGCAGGACCAACGGCTTTACGTGCTTTACGGGGGTGAGACACCGCCAACTTCCTGAATTCAAGCAGCTACTGAGATTTTCTTGACAGAAAAACTCAATAATTTTTTTCTAGCCTGACCCAGGATTCGAACCCAGGACCATATGATCAGCAGTCGCACTACTACAACCACTAGGCCACCGAGGCAGTCAAAAGTACATACAAATTAAATTGAAGTGTCTGTCTATAATATTGAAAAACCGGTCTTATATAGAGCGGAGAGCGTTATATCATGCCATTACGACCTGTGAAATATTTTTAAAATTTTTGTGTATCTGTCTGTTTGTTCCGATTGATATTCGGAATGGTTGAACCTGACCGAGCAAAACTTCACGAACAGTTAGAAGGCAATGCCAGGAGTGATCTAGGCTAGGTTTTATTTGGTCTAGGCTAAAAATTAATAATTTATAAAATATTTCATTATCTTAAATCTAAATAACGGTACAATAATGGATACTACCCAGGCGCAGCCAGAGTGGTTAGCGAGTATATAATAAAATACTAATTAAAATCAAATAAAACAGTAATTTTATAAGCATGTATGTTATAAGCTATAGTTTTTTCTAAGTTCGGTTATAAAAAAATATCTACATAGGTCACAAATAACAATATAACAAAGTCGCTTTCCGCAGTCTGTATTTTATTTAGCTTAGATCATTAAAACTACGCAATAGATTTTGATACGGTTTCGATCAATAGACATAATGGTTCAAGAGGAAGGTTTATATGTAAAATACATGCATGTGATATCGAGATCCAAAAATAACTCGTGTGAAGCCGAGGTGGAACACATTATAATAAATAAACCACTATGATAACTGGCTTACCGATCCTTATTTCTCCGTCATTTTGAGTTTGTATCTGTGCAGAAATATCGACTCGTTAGAGTAGGGTAGTAACCTCTTACGTATATATCAATTAAGTAGTAGAGAAACCACTCTTATGTTTCGTGGTAACATAAAATATTGACTTTCAATAAGAATTACTTGTAATCTATATTGAATAAAAAATATTTTATTCTATTCCATTCTATTCTATTCGGTTTGAAAGGTAAGGCATTAGATGTACGAGTATTTTATCTCAGTTTTCTATAGATGAGTTCTCCGCCAAGATAAGGACAAGGTTATTATAGCAAATTAAAATCAGTGGGCTTTTGTGTTCATACACATGAAGTAAATTATAATAAGTCGCTGAAATAATAAATTATACTAAGTATTTGAACGTATAATCACATTTAAACAGGCAGGCAATACGATTTCTGTTAGGATGTAATAAATAATAAGTTAGTATCTTAAAATGAAGGAGATGGGTAATTGCCAATCCGCCTACGAACCGCGGCAAACGTTCCGTGTTTGACTTTTATAGACTGTAATGAATGTATTTATGTAAATAAATTGTGAAAATAATTAAATATAACATTTTTGCTATAGATAATAAATGGGACTGCAGTGACGGTGGATTGGACTGGCTGGCCATGGAGCGGGACAATAGCACTGTCAAACTTCGTATTGTGGATTATTATCAACTTATCTGTAATCAAAGGCTTTACAAGGGAAAACCACTTCACAGAGTTATGGATATTATTAAGGTAACATTAAATATATGTTATTTTATTTACTGAACAAGCGTTTTGAGTTACATATTGTCACATATAATGACGATAAACTTGAGCCATGCTGCAGTTATATTAGTAGTATAGTTGTAGCACGAATAGGTCGGCTCGACCTTGGAAGGACCACGCTCTCACAAAATACCAGCGTAAAATAGTAGCTTAATGCTGCTGTGTGTCGTATGGTGAGTGTAGAGAACCGGAGACTCTTTTCACTGGTGACGAGGCATCTTAGTCCTCACGGGTGATAACGATTCTGCATTTTGATTTGTAACCACTTACCATCAGGACAAACAAGCACATTGTGTGCTTGTTTGTCAGCCTGTCCTATAAAAAGTGAAATATATATATATATATATATATATATATATATATATATATATTTTGTATATTCGAGCTTTTACGGTGGAAGTGGCTTCGGCTGCATTTGGTCGGCACGAATGTAAGTCGCAGCCCAAGAGAAATATGACGTATTAATAAATGCCTAGTCGTAATGCACATCATGTTATGTATCAGCTTTTTGCGTTCTACAGTGCGGCTGCTAATGCTGATTTTTAACACTTTTGCATTGTGGCTAGAAATTTTGTCGTTAGAAAATGGACATAACTAGTCGTTCTGTAATCAGGCTAGAAATCGTCTGCTATTTTGGTCAACGTATCTATTTAAGGCTCCTACAATGATCAGTAACATCGACGATTTAGACTTTGTTTAAATTTAGCGACATCTACCAAAAGCAGACGTACTGCAATGGCACTACGTAAATAGTAGACAAAGATTAACGATGTATAGATAATATGACAACTTATTTGCATAATTTTTTTCGATCTCTGAGAGACCTAGTGGTGAATTGACGTATTATTCACTTTAAACCTTGTATCTGTATTCACTCCCATGTTCAGCACGGACGTTCCTACGTGACAATTTGTGAAGGTATGTGGATGACCAGGTAAGTACCAAGTGGTTTTTAGCAATGGGAATGGTTAGGAATATTTAGTTTTCAGAAACTATCATAATCGGCATGGATGCTGCTACGTGACACTTTGTGAAGGTATGTGGATGACCAGGTAAGTACTAAGTGGTTCTCAGCAATGGAAATGGTTAGGAAGATTTAGTTTTCAGAAACTTTCATATTCAGCCAAGACGCTGATACATGATACTTTGTGAAGGTTTGTGGATGACCAGGTAAGTAGCAAGTGGTTCTCAGCAATGGAAATTGTTAGGAATATTTAGTTTTCGGAAACTCTCATATTCAGCACGGACGCTGCTACGTGACACTTTGTGAAGGTATGTGGATGACCAGGTAAGTACTAAGTGGTTCTCAGCAATGGAAATGGTTAGGAAGATTTAGTTTTCAGTAACTTTCATATTCAGCCAAGACGCTGATACATGATACTTTGTGAAGGTTTGTGGATGACCAGGTAAGTAGCAAGTGGTTCTCAGCAATGGAAATTGTTAGGAATATTTAGTTTTCGGAAACTCTCATATTCAGCACGGACGCTGCTATGTGACACTTTGTGAAGGTATGTGGATGACCAGGTAAGTACTAAGTGGTTCTCAGCAATGGAAATGGTTAGGAAGATTTAGTTTTCAGTAACTTTCATATTCAGCCAAGACGCAATTTAAATAAAAATTGCATAATTTTGACTTCATTTTGTTTTCAAAAAAAATCATCATCCCTGTAAATAACTTCCGTTTTCAGTGGTTGCGACTCACTGAACCATACAGCAAATACACATTTTGCTTTGCGAGTCACGTGCAACTGCCCTTGTACCTGGTAGAACCAGTTGTGATTTTTATTTATCACTAAATTACCTGATTTGTCTTTAATCCAAAAATTTACTTTTTTTTTTTGTAATAGCTTCCTCTAGTCCTGTCTTAAATGCCGTTATTGGACACTTAACCTCCATTATTGTTTCTTTGTCTATAATACCATCTGGTGTAGCCCCCAAATACGGAATTTCGTTATCTGTATAAAGCCCACAAGGTCTTATATCCACTGCTTCTTGCATAGATAATTGTTGTAGCGCTTTTTTTTTCATATTCTCTTCCGTGCTGCAAAGGAACGGCATCTATATTAATTTTGTACAGCAATTGCTTTACTATATTGGCACAACTAGTATCCGGCCTCATTTTGATCACTTTGCCAAAGTTCGAAGCTGTCAACAAAGAACGTCTAAGTTCAAGCCATTCGCTAGACTCGCTTTGCAAAATGGTCTGCCGCTCAATCCATGTTCTTTCTTCTTTACTTTTTTTTAAATTGGATAAAAAGTTTCCTTCATTAAATTAAGAACATCTTCACCCATATCCGGTTTAGAGCTTTGTTCACCATAATCTTTATTTTGAGTTATAGCGTCACACGTCTTCTGCGGCTTTTTATAATTGGCGCGTTTCTTCAAGCCTCTGAGTTTCCGATACTTATTATCGAAAGTGCTCATTCGGCCTTTAGGGCTTTTGCCAACAATCGTTTTGTACAATATTGTAGTAGGTTTTCTTTTAGTATTGAACGTAACCGCAGAAGCTGAACATCTAGCTTGATAGCCGCTTCGCAGAGAGTAATTTACTCTTTTACCCCCAACTAACTTGGCCACAATGCTGTGAAAACATTCTACGATGTTACTTTCAACATCATGAACAAGACTTCTTGAATGGCCAGCAATACTATTTATAATAAAACATATTCTCTGCCATAAAGAACTTGTGAAAAAATCCGCTGGTACAGATTCAGTTTCAGTTTGACGACGATTACAGAAATGGATTTTACAGTTGGTGTGGTTTCCGAAGGCATGTAAATGTACAGTTTGAATGTCCTCAAAAAGTTTGTGAGTGCAAAAAATCTAAAGTCTCTGTAGAACCATGGTATTTTTTGATGCACTTTCTAATTGTGGACCTAATGGTCATTATGCGTTTTTTTGTAATTAATTTTCTAAGATGTATGGGATATTTTGTATCTGTGATCAAGTTTTCCAGTTTGTTACACAAGTTTCTTAAAAGGTGATTTCTGCACTCTACTTTTTCAAGCATCAAGCAATCATTTCAAGCATCCGGTAAGTGAAATAATCACAGACAGCTAGGTAGCTGCAAGCCCTTTTAAATGAGTACAAAAACAATGGTACTACGTGGTTCCGTCACTGAGATCCTGTACCCACCTTCGGACTACTTCGGAGTGCAGCATCAGGTAAATCAAATTATCACAGACAGCTAGTTAACTGCGAGCTCTTTAAAATGAGTACAAACACGATGGTTCTACGCGGTTCCGTCACTGAGATCCCGTACCCACCTTCGGACTACTTCGGAGTGCAGCATCAGGTAAATAAAATCATCACAGCCAGCTAGGTAGCTGCGAGCCCTTTAAAATGAGTACGAAAACAATGGTACTACGTGTTTCCGTCACTGAGATCCTGTATCCACCTTCGGACTACTTCGGAGTGCAGCATCAGGTAAATGAAATTATCACAGACAGCTAGTTAACTGCGAGCCCTTTAAAATGAGTATAAACACAATGGTTCTACGCGGTTCCGTCACTGAGATCCCGTACCCACCTTCGGACTACTTCGGAGTGCAGCATCAGGTAAATGAAAATATCACAGCCAGCTAGGTAGCTACGAGCCCTTTAAAATGAGTACGAAAACAATGGTACTACGTGGTTCCGTCACTGAGATCCTGTACCCACCTTCGGACTACTTCGGAGTGCAGCACCAGGTAAGTGAAATCATCACGGCCAGCTAGTTAGCTGCGAGCCCTTTAAAATGAGTACAAACACAATGGTTCTACGTGGTTCCGTCACTGAGATCCTTAACCCACCTTGAGACTGAGTTCAGGACTGTAGCATCAGACCAGCCAAAAATGGTCACTTTCATATTATTTTACACTTTTTCACTGGGCGTTTTTGTAGTACCAAGCTTATTTATGGCTAAAGAAATTCCGCACCTATACAATAGAAGGGAACACGACAGTTTTCGGAACGCTGCCGTACCCTGTATTTACGCAAAAGAAAATATATCAAGGATAATTTACTTACCAATAGTTTTGAAGAGCTTGGCCACGCTTCACTTTTGACTTGCTTTTGTATTTCGGCATTGTCAAGCTTAGTCTATTCTATGATACGATTATATACAAAACTAAAACTAAAAACAATTTTACTAACATAAATCAAATTAATTCCTAATTTTTTATCATATATTACTTATGTACGTTTTATTTACAATAAATCTGTTTTTATAAATTTGAAATATTGCGAACTTTTTAATATTTTTTTTAAAAAAATAACGCGCGCACAGTCCACCCGTCGCAAGAGTCAAACTGACACTGGTGAATATCCGTAACGGGCCATAGCGGGGGAGCTTCGGGTGGCGAAAAGGGTCCAAATTATGTTTTACTATATTTTAAGAAATATATTTAACAAAAATACAATAAAAACAATACATTTTTTTTATTATGATTTAACAAATATTTTAATATAAATTTAATCTTAAACTGTTGAGCCGTTCTTGAGAAAAAAATACAAAATAGATTTAAAATAGCCTTTGTATTTGATTTTTTATTGTAATAATGGTCAAATATTCTTAAATTTTAAACAATACAAATGAACTGTGACGATCTAAACTATAAAACATATTTTTTTTGTAGCAAATAAACAAAAGGATTCGGCTATAACTTTTTGTAAACCTGGGCGTTTTTCACGATTTGAGCAATGTAGAAGCCTTAACGTATATGTGATCCGGCTAAACGTCAGTAATTTCCTGGCATCTGACGCCGCGTCGTATCAAAAAAACGCTTATCTGCAAGCATCAAGAAAGCAAGTATAGTAGTTAGGTCTCTTTGAATACGCCTGATTCTAAATGTTGACTGGAACGATGTGTCCGCCACCCTACTCGACTGTAGGTACACATAAGTAGGTGCCATGCGGTCGAGTTGTATGGTGATGATGAATGTCTAACGAAAGAAATGTGCTGATCGTAGCTTTAAAATAATATCATTTC